ATGATGTCACTACTCTAAACAACTACAAGATCGGTATTAATGTTGAAAATTTTTCATCCCTACGTAAGGTTTTTGCAATCCGAAAAACACTTCAAACCGCTTCGATTATATTTGGCTATATGAAGACATCAGTCTAACACATGGCCAAGAGATTAGTGCAATTTTCACGGGCTCACGAGTGGTTAGCAAGGGATGGTAATCCAACCTCGTTGTTGATGATTCACCACATGTGGGTAACATCAGTGCAATTTGAAAGGTTTTTGGCTAAATGGACAAGTGAAGATGGTTCATAAACAAGCATGATATATTAAGGTCGAGAGAGTCGATGATGTTACCAAGATGTTGGACAAGATGAAGATTTCAAATCTAAGAAAACTTGCTATTCATGGAGCCACATAAATTGTATTCGCTATTATGTGTGCAAGTTATTACAAGATTATTGTGTATCCTAAAGTATTGGTTATTGTGTTATTAAGGCAATGATGCTTTGGATTTTATCACTTTATACACTATGTGCGCAATTAATGATATCGATGCAAATTTTTAAAAAATATTATATCTATCCATGAAAAACATTGATCCAATTCTAGAAAACAACGTTAGGAAAAACAAAAGAAAACTATTTTGTATGTCTTCCATTATTATTTCAACAAGTATATAAAACTACCGCTAAAACTAAAAGTTCTACAACATTAGAGTTGTTTATTACGTATATGCGACCACTCATGACTTTAAATCAATAATGTTTTCCAAAGAAGAGAAGCATGAATCATCAACAGAAACAAACTCAGATAACAACTCGTAGGTGATTCCAGAATCTGATGTTGTAGGAGATAAATTTTCTATCGGATCATTCCACTCGAATAAAATATTCTCTGTTTCCGAATTTGAGAATGAAAACGTTCTGAAAATCGCCTTCTTGGTATCTAGATCTTCGAGACTCAACATCATTTCTTCAGCTTCCATGTGTTTGATTGTGTCTTTGGGTTGCTTTGTAGCATCTACCTTAGCTCCTTTGTTTCGTTCTTCTTTGGACATAAAAGCAGAGTATTTGTTGGTTAATGGAGTGATGTTACATGTGTGACTTTCTAGATACTTGACTTCGTAGCACAAAGGATTTGTGTCTGATTTTTGGACTTGTTTCACCGCTAAACAGTTTTGTGTGAATCGATGTGTACATCTATAATATCCTCTGCATTAACAAAACATAGGAAAATATTCAAAACTTAAAAATGTCCACATAAAGGAAAATGTCCAAAAAAATTGTAATGCTTAGAAAATGATTTATTTACCTAGGGTTCTTGGATCCATGAATATCTTTTTGGCCATATTTTCTCCAACAATAACCATCATCAAGAGAAGTCCCTTCTTGTTCTGTTGCTACACAAATCTTAATTTTATCGGTTTTCTTCTTCTTCGATAATCTTCTGCAAATCAAGAAATAAACACAAAAACAAAATCAGAAAAAAATAATATCTTTCAATTCAAAACTCAGAAACACACAAATGAAGTTTAAACCAAAAAAAAAAAGAGACACAAATGAATAATCACTCTTTTACCTCTTCTTATTGCTCTGGTCCGTCCTCTCATGGTTTCTGTCGAGAGTTTTCTTATCAAGATTCAACATAAATATGGCATTTTCGTAAGAATGGAGGATTCCAGAGATCAAACTCTTGTTTGATTCATTAGAAGAAGAAGGATTTTTCAAATTGTTGAACAACCGATTTGCTAACTCTTTCCCTTGCTCGAGCTCGCTAATCACAAGCTTTTCTTCCATCAACATCTCTTCCTTCATTACCATATCTGAGATGTTTTGGTGAGTTTTATGAGATATGAGCTTTGTCTCTCACTAAG